CTTGTACACAAACCAGACGTGTACACTTTGTTTACAAAACTTAAGTTCGCCTGGTTTGTTTACATAACTCTGCGCCTGTCCTCTCTCATGTACTCATTCTCTCTCTCTCTCATTTATTCGTTTTATCTCGTTTACTCACCCCTGACCCTACATTAAGACTACAAATACAGTGGACCCCCAGTTTACGATCAGCTCCCAATGCGACCAATTATGTAAGTGTATTTATGTAAGTGCGTTTGTATGTGTATGTTTGGGAGTCTGAAATGGACTAATCTAATTCACAATATTCCTTACGGGAACAAATTCGGTCAGTACTGGCACCTGAACATACTTCTGGAATGAAATAATATCGTAAACCAGAGGTCCACTGTATTTTAAGGTAAGTAATGAGTGAACTGTATATGCATTTTATCACTCTGGGATGCTTAAATGTCATAGAATATTATGTATGGGTGGAATGGCCTGGTATGGTAGCCCGGCTGACTACCATACATACCACACTTGATTTCTTACAATGAATACTACTTGTCTTGCCCTAGATTAAGACTACAAATATTTTAAGGTAAGTAAATGAGTGCACTGTGTGTGTATTGTACTTTTTCATTATTTTTTGATGCCTAGTTCTGTTGCTAACATATGTTAGTGTAAGCTTGTTATCTAGTATTTGTATGCATTTATAAAGGAGAAAAAAAAGGGTGTTCCACTTCACAGCGATTTCCGCTTTAAGGCGGTAGCCTGGAACCTAACCTGTATAAGTGGGGCCCTACTGTATTATTATTATTATTATTATTATTATTATTATTATTATTATTATTATTATTATTATTATTATTAATTTAGGAAACTGAAGCTCTATCATTATTATTACAATAATAATACTAATAATATTATTATATTATATTTTTATTATTTATTATATTTTTGTGGCATTTATGGATTTGGAAAAGGCGTATGACAGGGTGGATAGGGGGGCAATGTGGCAGATGTTGCAGGTGTATGGTATAGGAGGTAGGTTACTGAAAGCAGTGAAGAGTTTTTATGAGGATAGTGAGACTCAAGTTAGAGTATGTAGGAAAGAGGGAGATTATTTCCCAGTAAAAGTAGGCCTTAGACAAGGATGTGTGATGTCACCGTGGTTGTTTAATATATTTATAGATGGGGTTGTAAGAGAAGTAAATGCGAGGGTCTTGGCAAGAGGCATGAAGTAAAAGATAAAGAATCACACATAAAGTGGGAGTTGTCACAGTTGCTCTTTGCTGATGACACTGTGCTCTTGGGAGATTCTGAAGAGAAGTTGTAGAGGTTGGTGGATGAATTTGATAGGGTATGTAAAAGAAGAAAATTAAAAGTGAATACAGGAAAGAGTAAGGTTATGAGGATAGCAAAAAGATTAGGTGATGAAAGATTGGATATTGGATTGGAGGGAGAGAGTATGGAGGAGGTGAATATATTCAGATATTTGGGAGTGGATGTGTCAGTGGATGGGTCTATGAAAGATGAGGTGAATCATAGAATTGATGAGGGGAAAAGGGTGAGCGGTGCACTTAGGAGTCTGTGGAGACAAAGAACTTTGTCCTTGGAAGCAAAGAGGGGAATGTATGTGAGTATAGTTTTACCAATGCTCTTATATGGGTGTGAAGCATGGGTGATGAATGTTGCAGCAAGGAGAAGGCTGGAGGCAATGGAGATGTCATATCTGAGGTCAATGTGTGGTGTGAAAATAATGCAGAGAATTCGTAGTTTGAAAGTTAGGAGGAGGTGCGGGATTGCCAAAACTGTTGTTCAGAGGGCTGAGGAAGGGTTGTTGAGGTGGTTCGGACATGTAGAGAGAATGGAGCAAAACAGAATGACTTCAAGAGTGTATCAGTCTGTAGTGAAAGGAAGGCGGGGTAGGGGTCAGCCTAGGAAAGGTTGGAGGGAGGGGGTAAAGGAGGTTTTGTGTGCGAGGGGCTTGGACTTCCAGCGGGCATGCATGAGCGTGTTTGATAGGAGTGAATGGAGACAAATGGTTTTTAATACTTGACGTGCTGTTGGAGTGTGAACAAAGTAACATTTATGAAGGGATTTAGGGAAACCGGCAGGCCGGACTTGAGTCCTGGAGATGGGAAGCACAGTGCCTGCACTCTAAAGGAGGGGTGTTAATGTTGCGGTTTAAAAACTGTAGTGTAAAGCACCCTTCTGGCAAGACAGTGATGGAGTGAATGATGGTGAAAGTTTTTCTTTTTCGGGCCACCCTGCCTTGGTGGGAATTGGCCAGTGTGTTAATAAAAAAAAAATAATGGATTAATGAAAATGTCTATATTAATATAAAATAAAACATTTAATGTACCAGTGATTATTATTAAATATACATCACATATAAACATTGCATGTTTTTATATACTATGTAATGTGTTTCTTTGGGTCCATGGTTGCTTATTTTGCAGTTGCACTCAATCAGTAACCACAGAAAACAATGGATTATAGCAAAATGTTTGGATGAATGAGCAGAAGCTTCCTCACTTGCCCAGAGACAAAGCCAAACTGACTTGCAAGTGGCCCCAGCTGGCGGATGGATGCCTCCCAAACAGCTGATAACCAAATTAACGGCCAATAACTGGGTGCCAAAAAAACGGCCGATAACCGAGTTGGCCGATAACTGAACTTGCTGATAACCGGGGGTCCACTGTATTTTATCATGCCTGGAATTCCACTGGAACAAATTAATTCCTTTTAAGAGTGCCTGCACTCTGAAAGATAGGCCTATGGTGTAGGTGTGCCTCTGGCAAGACAGTGATGGAGTGAATGATGATGAAAGTGTTTCTACTTTTTCAGGTCACCCTGCCTCAGTTGGAAACAGCCGATGTGTTAATAGAAAAAAATTGCCTATAGCTATGTATTTAATCCTTTCACTGTTGGAAGCCCTGAAATTGAAAGTGCTGACAATGTTGGCATTTAAAAAAAAAAATTCTTCTGAAATGGTAGAGAATCTTCTGAAGGTAAAGACACCAAAAACAAAAAAATTGATGAAAAACTTATGGAATTATGCAGGCACTAAGTTAGCTGTCTGGGTGCAATTTATGCATCAGCAATTTCACCAATTCCACTGCTCAGTTTAACCAAGTTTTCGAGCTATTTCATTAGTATGCCTCCCGTTCTATTGAATGAGCACAAGAAAAAAACCCATTACTCTCAGGATTGCCCCATAAAGTGCAAAGAAGTCAGCAGTTTGGCCAGTTTTACATGAAATAAAAAAAAATCCAATTTAAAAACAGTCCAAAACACACACTGTAGACATTCCTGGCACTAAAGCAATATTTCCTCTGTTCATTAACCATTTGACTGTTTTGGTAGTACTATATATGTCTTACGAGCCAGTGTTACGGACACATTAATACGCATAAATTCTAGCAGCTTCAAATCAAGCAGGAGAAAGCTGGTAGGCCCATATGTGAGAGAATGGGTCTGTGTGGTCAGTGTGCACCACATAAAAAAAATCCTGCAGCATGCAGTGCATAATGAGAAAAACGCTGGATTAAAACGCTGACTTTGAGTTGTATTTTCGTATAGTATTTATTGTTGTAGTCTCGTTTTCGTGGTCTCTCGTAATAAAATGGAAAACATATTACAGAAATAGAGATGATTTTGATTAGTTTCACGTTGAAAATGACCTTGAAATTGAGCTCAGAGTAGTGGAAATATTCGATTTTTATCAGTGTTCAGGAGTAAGCAAATCACACCATACGTCCAATACACGTCAACTGGGGAGTCTAATATTCTTTCACTAGTGCACTGATATTATTTATACCATTTTTACAATAATGCAGTAGTCTGCATAACAGTAAATTTTGTATTTTTTGTATGAATAAAAAATCAAAACAGAAAGCAATAGTAATATAAGAGGGGCCTAGAGACATGACTAATGAACAGAGGATATGTTATTTTAGTGCCAAGAATGTCTATTGTTTATTCTGGATTCTTTTTTGAAATTGGCATTTTTTTAATTTGCATGAAATTGGCCAAATTGCCAATTTCTGACCACTTTATTTGGTAGTTCAAATCGGTAAATGGGTGGTTTCTTGTACTCAACTGATGGAAAAAATGGAGTTCTAAAGAAATAGCTATGAATTTGGTCAACTGGAACAACAGAATTAGCCAAAAACAGGGCTCAAAGTCGGCGAAACTGCCGATGCGTATATGTCGCATATGAGTTTTTGACCAAATTTCGTACTTTTGGTGCCATTATCACTGCGAAAAGATTCTCTATCATTTCATAAGAAAAAATATTTTTTTTTTTTTCCAAAAATTTTGTGACAATGACAGTTTCAGAAAGGGGCTTGTGACAGTCAAAGGGTTAATAACATCTTCAGGCTTCTCCTATATTACACTTACCCACCAGTTCATTTTTCACAAAAAAACTGAAGATTTACCCTGTTTCTCAGATAAAATATAGCCACGAATGATTGGACATGGTTTATAGCAGCCCAAATTCGTAAAACAGATTGGGTGGTATGAGGGTGGGTCTTACATCCTGAGGAAAATAGTAAAAAATTTATTCTTTCTGCTATGTTGGGCTTGATTTCAAGCTACCCCTGTCCTGAAACTAACCAAAATCATCTCTGTTTCAGTAATATGTCTTCCATTATATTAAATAATACAAGAAACTGTCAGTAAAACCGTAAAAATCTTCCTAGAAAACACCTCAAAGTCGCTATTTTAAACTAAAAGCATGGTCAGAGGTTTGCTTTTCCCACCATGCATCTCGGGGAGGGGGGGGGTCAGGATTTTATTTATACTGTGCACATTAGCCATACACATACATTCTCTCATGTCTAAGCCAGAATTACTGCTCTTGTTTTCTCTGAGGGAGTTGACCATAAAACATAGATCTACTTAAGTGATCCTTGGATAAACAATGTAGAGCTATGTACGAGGCAGTGAAAGGGTTCAGTTATGATTTACGTTACATGTGAAGATGATATTTTTCTTTTAAGACTACAATATCATAATTTTGTCTCCAGGTAGGTCTAAGCACATCACGATGGTCTTCAGCTTCAGGATCTCTAACAGGAAAGTTTCAGGCATGGCATATGCATCAGAAGCTTGGTGTGCGCAACTGTTTTCACCCGGGGGCAAGTGCCATCTCACGAGACTATGTTGGTATTGTTGCCAAGGAAGTTACTGGACGGGAGATGCTGGCTGCTCTTTCAGCATATGTTTGGCCAAAAGTGAGTATTGTATAACTGTGACAAATGATTTGACTGTGTTCAGTGCAGTATTTATAAACATAACACTGAATATGCTAATAACAGATAAGAATTTATTATAAAATAATTAAATTGATAGATCTCTTTATTAATATCTAAAGTACTGTACAAGTAGTGTTTAACCTTTTATTGCAGTTTTCAGCTGTTGTTTGGAAGTTGTTTTTCTCTGCTTTGTTCATAGACCTCTTACCCACACTTAACCATTTCAATATTGTGACCCTGAAATTAAGAGTGCTGAGAGTGTTGTGATTTAAAAACAATAATAATAGTTTTATCTCCTGAAATGGTGTTGAATTTTTTCTGAAGGTAATGACACCAAAAATGTGAAATTTGATGGAAAACCTTCATAATTATGCAGACACAAAGTTAGTGGCTATGGCATAATTTACGCATAAAAAAGTTTTGCCTGCTTTGATTCCTATTGTAAGCAAATTCGCTCATTGATGCCCACTTCCTGGCTATTTTGCTAGTATGCCTTTAATCCTATCGATTGAACATAAAAAAATTACCAACTCAACTATCAGAACTAGTCCACCGGTTAACGATATTTTTTCACTCCAGAAGTATGTTCAGGTGCCAGTACTGACCGAATTTGTTCCCATAAGAATATTGTGAAGTAGATTAGTCCATTTCAGACCCCCAAACATACACGTACAAACGCACTTACATAAATACACTTACATAATTGGTCGCATTCGGAGGTAATCGTTATGCAGGGGTCCACTGTACTTGATAAAGTCCATGGAAGTTGGTAATTCGGCAAATTTTACTCAAAATTCAGCAAATTCCAATCTAAAAACAGAGTACAGAATAAACACCATAAGCATTCCGACTACTAAAGGAACTTGTTGCCTATTCATTAATCATGTTCTCAAGGCCACTCTTATATTACACTTGCCCTCCATTTTGAATCCATCATTGAAGTTTTGCCCTATTTCTTGGGTAATAAAATATAATCAAGAATGATTGGTTATGGTTTAGGCCACAGTAATTGAAGACCACTTAGTAAAAACCCATAAAACAGATTGGGGAAAGGGGCTACCTTTCATTTTTTATTTTTTATTTTATTTAGTAATTTAAGCATACAAATAGAGGTACAAAAAATACAGGTAAGAGCAGCATGCCAAAGCCACTTATATGCATAGCATTACGGGCTGGCTTAAAATTAACTTAAGATTAACTAAGCAATGATGAAATCATTGAAAATGATGAAATCATTGAAATCATTGTTGTAAACAGATAACTATAAAGCACAAATGAGTATTACAAAGACAGGTCATATGGTTGCTTGCATTGCTGTACATTCAGTCGAATGGAGTATTCTGTTAGGTAGTGTATTTAAAAAAATAATAAAGTTAGATTGGGTCCTAGGTTTAACATTTGTGTGATATAATTGTGAGTAACATATAGGATATACAATTTATAAGGTTCAGTTATTCAGTATTTATTTGGTTTTGAGTGAGTAAGTGATCTTTGAGAAGAGACTTGAATTTATAAACAGGTAGTGTTTCTTTTATATTTACAGGTAATGAATTCCAGATTTTAGGGCCTTTTATGTGCATTGAGTTTTTGCATAGTGTGAGATGGACACGAGGAACATCACAGAGTGATCTGTGCCTTGTGTTATGGTCATGTGTTCTGTTGAGGTTGGCAAGGAGATGTTTGAGGGGAGGGTTAATATCAGAGTTAAGTGTTCTATGTATGTAATAGGTGCAATAATAAGTATGCATGTTTTGTATGGTGAGTAGGTTGAGTGTTTTGAATGTTGGTGGAGTGTGTTGCCTGTAGTGAGAATTTATCATTCTAACTGCAGCCTTTTGTTGGGTAATTAGTGGTCTGAGATGGTTAATTGTTGTTGAGCCCCATGCACAAATTCCATAGGTGAGATAGGGGTAAATAAGAGAGTGATAAAGGGCCAGGAGGGCTGACTGTGGAACATAGTACCGTATCTTCGATAGTATGCCTACAGTCTTGGAGATTTTCTTAGAAATTTGTTGTATATGTGTATGAAATTTGAGTCTACTATTGAGGTGGATTCCTAGGAATTTTCCCTCTGTTAGCTTTGTGATAGGTGATCCGTTTATTGTTATGTTAAGAGGTACATCTGTAGCTCTGTTACCAAACTGAATGAAGTAGGTTTTGTCAATGTTTAGTGTAAGTTTGTTAGTCCTCATCCAGGTAGATATTTTCTGTAATTCGGTGTTTACAGTATTGGCTAGCGTGACTGGGCTCGGGTGAGAGAAGACGTATGTAGTGTCATCTGCAAAAAGTGTGGGTTTGAGTAATTGCGAAGCATTTGGTAGGTCATTTATGTATAGGAGAAAGAGAAGAGGGCCAAGGACACTTCCCTGTGGGACACCAACTGTAATTGGTTGTGCGGAAGAGCTTGCCCCATTTGCGTACACATATTGGCTTCTGTTGCTGAGGTAAGACTTGAGGTAGTTGAGGGAGTGCCCTCTAATACCATAGTGTGACAATTTTACGTGGAGCAAGTCATGGTCAACTGTATCAAAAGCTTTACGTAAGTCAATGAAGATCCCCAGTGGGACTTCTTTTTTATCTATTGCAGTGTATATATGTTCTAGCATGTGTATAATAGCATCATTAGTATTTTTATTAGGCCTGAATCCAAATTGGCAGGGGTTGAGAATGTTTTGGGAGATGAGGTAGGAGTAGATTCGTTTATGAATTAATTTTTCAAAGATTTTTGAGAGAGGGTGTAAATTGGATATTGGCCTATAGTTATTCAACTCTGTTGTCTCCTCCTTTATGGATCGGGGTGACCCTTGCTATTTTGAGAACTGTAGGGAAGGTGGAGGATTCAATGGATTTGTTAAAGAGTGTTGCAATGATTGGTGATAGTACTTGTGACGCTTTTTTGTATATAAAGGGTGGTAAGGTATTTAAATCTCCTGCCTTGTTTTTCAGTGCGTTGATAATAAGGGAGACTTGTATGGGTTAGTCGGAGCTAGGAACAGTGTGTTCGGGTAGTTGCCAGTGAGGTAGTCATTTGGTGGGTATCTGAGCTTGGGATTTTATTGGCAAGGTTTTGACCTATAGTGGAGAAGAAATCATTGAGTCTGTTTGCTGTTTCTGTTGGTGGGAGTTGGGGTTCATCTGATTTTGCTAATTTTATTTCGCTATGTCGTGATATCTTTTTTGTTCCCAGAATTTCTGATAGGGTCTTCCAGGTCTTTTTTATATCACCCTCGTAACGTTGGATAATCTGTTCTCATAATACAATTTTTTTGCCCTTCTTATCAGGCTGGTTAGGATTGACGAGTAACGTTTTGTTTGGTCTCTGGTTATGTGACCCATTCTGTACTTTTTTCATATCGGTGTTTTGTATTTATGGATTTGAGAATGCTAGGTGTTAGTCAGGGACTGTTCAGTCTCTTAGCTGTCATCTGTTTAGTTTTTTAGGGCAGTGCTTGTTATAAAGGTATTGGGTCTTTTTTAGAAAATTATTAAAACATTCGTCAATATCTGTATAGATTTCTAGCTCAGTGTGCCAGTCAATGTTTGTTACTGCTGTTGTGAAGTTATTAATGGCTGCCTCATTGTGGAGTCTGAAGGTGACTTTAGTAGTGTCTTGGGGTATTTTACCAAGAGTTGTTATGAGGAAAGTAGGGTAGTGGTCTGTGGTATTATCTGTAATTATGCCTGATTTTAAAGGGGATATGGTGTTGGTCCAGATGTGGTTAAGTAGGGAAACACTAGTCTCTGTAACTCTTGTAGGTTTTGTTACTGTTGGTAGCAACATGCAGTTACTCATTGTGTTTGTGAATTCAGTAACGTGTGGGTCCTGGTCTTGCAGGCCCCACCAAATGAATTATTTTTGTGTTTATGAGGTCTATTTCAAGTTACTACTGGTCTGAAACCAGCCAATTCATCTCTATTTTACTAGTAAATCTTTCATTCTGTCAATCGATACCAAGAAATAGCCAATAAAACCATTAAAATCACCCTGGAAAACATCTCGGTCACTACTTAACCCTTTCAGGGTTTCAGACGTACTAGTACGGCTTACGCACCAGGGTTTTTTGACGTATGTACTAGTACGCCTAAATTCTAGCGCCCTCAAATCTAGTGAGAGAAAGCTGGTAGGCCTACATATGAAAGAATGGGTCTATGTGGTCAGTGTGCGCAGTATAAAAAAAATCCTGCAGCACACATTGCGTAATGAGAAAAAAAAAACTTGGACCGTGCTTTTGGATTAAAACAGCGACTTTGCACTGTATTTTCGTATGGTATTTATTGTTGTATTCTAGTTTTCCTGGTCTCATTTTATAGAATGGAAGACATATTACAGAAATTGAAATGATTTTGACTGGTTTTACAATGAGAAGTACCTTGAAATTGAGCTCAAAGTAGCAGAAATGTTCGATTTTTACCAAAGTTCAAAAGTAAACAAATCATGCCAAGCGTCCAATACACATCGACTAGTGAGTCTAATATTCTTTCACAAGTGCGCTGATATTATTTATACCATTTCTACACTAATGCAGTAGTATGCATAACAGTAAATCTTCTATTTTTTGTAAGAATAAAAATTCAAAGTGGAAAGCCAAAGAAATATAAGAGGGGCCTGGGGATGTGACTAACGAACAGAGAACTTGTTATTTTAGTGCCAGGAATGTCTTCCTTGTTTATTCTGGACCCTATTCGGAAAATGGCATCTTTTAAAATTTGTGTGAAATTGGCAAAATTGCTAAATTCTGACCACTTTATTGGATAGTTGAAATTGGTAAATGGGTGGTTTCTTGTACTCATTCGATAGAAAAAAATGGAGTTCTAGCAAAATAGTTATGATTTTTGTCGACTAGTACATTGGAATTGGTCGAAAATAGGGCTCAAAGTGGGCAAAATCGCCGATGCGTAAACATTGTCGAGACCGCTAACTTCGCGAGAGCGTAATTTCATAAGTTTCCCATCAAATTTCATACTTTTGGTGTCATTAT